GTTCAATAATATAATTGTACCTATTGAACTAAAACAACAGGTTTTTTTTTGTTTGTTTGTTTTTTTTTGGGGGGGGGGGGGGGGGGGTTGTTCTTTTATCTAAATGGAAGCAGATCACATTCACCACACCCTCTTGGAAACTAAGATGTAGGTTGACAGCAGAGTCTCTGTTGGCTGTCTGGCAGAGAGGCTGAAACTTCACCTTACAAAATGACACATGCGTAACTACATCCTGGGTGCAGGTATACAGTACAAGGAATGACACTACTGAGAAAAGTAAGGAGTAAGAACCAGAGAACCTAGGACATGCATTAAGAATTCTAAATTTCCTTGAAACATAATTATTGTATGTTCCTTTTCTTGATAGCTATTATGTGTGTAATGTATTTTGTGTCTCAAGACCTAAACCATGTCTCAAAGATTTCAAGCTAAAGGTTTATGCTTAAGTGCATTTTAATAGTTTTATCTATGAACTTAGACCAATTGTGCATTTGTGCCCTATTATAGCCATTCATGTTATGTATGTAAGGTAAACTACAATATACAGAGCTAACAGGTCAATGCAGTGTGGCAGTTTGAGGTCCTGATGATAGGATGTTGCATATTTTGAAAAGAGGCTGTCCAGCACTTTTATACTGGCTACATCTACACCATTCATATGGGCTAGTGCAAGAACTGGACTAAATGAAAAGATGCTGTACTGTATCTAGTTACTCTATTGTCCTTGGGTGATCATAATTAGCAGACTGAAATTTTATTTAAAGCAGCTCTTAATATTGTAATCTTTGCGAATTGACCATGTAAGTGTATATTCTACTTGCAAATGGAATAACAAACTGACAATACTGTCATCACAAATTAACAAAAACAAAAGAGTTAGAATAAATCAGCATAGCAACAACTGCAAAATACTCTATTAACAAATGATTACCACTGGGCTGGATTGACATTGTGGTTGTAAATAAATCAAACTACAGTGTTTTTTCCTACGTTCAACTAAGATGTTTTAGCATAAACAGAGATTTAATAAGATCAAAGTTTGAGGGGAACGTGGATAAAAAAATAAATAAAAAAAAACAATAAATGCCCATGACAAAGTGAAAGGGCAGCAAGCCTTCCAGCACTGCAGCAGGGTTTAAACTGTTTATACCATGGTGTTGATATAAATACAAATGAAGTAGGGGTGGTCTTGAAGGAGAGGTTGGCAAAGAATGTAGTAGAGTCGAAAAGAGTGTCAGATAGATAGGGTGATGTGTCTGAAGGTAGAAGTAGAAGGCCTGATGCTAAATGTTAGTAGTTATTACGCTCCACAGGTTGGATGTGAAGTAGAGGAGAGAGGAATTTTGGAAAGATCTGGATGAAGTGATATAGAGTATTCCCAGGGAGGCGAGAGCAGATCTCTGAGTGATCAGACCAGACCTAAATGGACATGAAGGAAACAGAAGGGATGAGGAAGTGATGGGTATGTTTGGTGTCAAGGAAAGAAACCAGGAAGGACAGATGGTGGTGGATTTTGCTAAGAGAATTTAAGTGGCTGTAGTCAACACTTGTTTCCAAAAGAGGGAGGAACATAAAGTGACCTATAAGAGTGGTGGGAGTATGCAGCTAGACTACATTATGTGTAGAAAAGGAAATCCGAGGAAGATTGGGGACTATAAGGGTGTGGCAGTGGAAAGCACGACCAGAAAGCATCAGATGATTGTGCGTAGAATGACTTGTTGTGAAGTAGAGAAAAAGAGCAAAATTAGAGAAGAAGACCAAATGGTGGAATCTGAGGAAGGAAGAATGTTGTGAAGAGCTCTGAAAGAAGCTGTTAAAGGCTCTGGGTGGTAAGAAAGAGCTTCCAGATGACTGGTCTACTACAGCAACAGTAATTAGAGAGACAGGTAGGAAGGTACTTTGTGTGTCACTAGACACAGAATAGATGGTAAGGAAACCTGGTGGTGGAATAGTGAAATGCAGGACGCTATTCAAAGAAAGAGGTTAGCCAAGAAGAAATATGAGAGTGAGAGGACTGAAGAGAAGAGGTAGAAATATAAGGAGATGGAAGGTAGAGCAAAGAGGGAGCTAGCTAAGGCAAAGCAGAAGGAGTATGATGAGTTGTATGGGAGGCCACCCCAAATGCCCCAGAAGTTTTGTCTATGCATGCAGAGTTTAAGTTTGAAAGCACTTCGGTTCAAACTGTTCAAACTTTCTTATACAACCTGGGCTCAAACCTTCAACCTCAGGACTACAAAATGGTGGCACTGACCACTGAAATGCTGCAGCCGCCCTAGATGTTGTAATTAGTTAATGAGCAATAATCATCGTCTTGCCTGGGCCCTACAACTTAGGCACAAGTATGCCATTGAAAAAGTGCAAGTGTAAAACATAATATGTAAAGTGCCTCAAAACGGGAAACAATACATTTTTGAAACCTGAAATAAATAAAAGTTTGTGTCCTTCTTTTTGAGGCCTACTAATGTGTCGCTCGTGCTAACAAAGACAACCTTCATCATCTATACATTCTTCTAACCATTGATATTAATTTTGTTCTTTGCACAGTTTCACATTACTTTGTCCCCTACCTAGAACAACCTATTCATGTGATGTAGCTCTCCATTGTCTTTTTTAGAACAGAACTGTGCTGTAAAAATCCCAATTTCTTTTTCCTCTGACTTCTAGTGAAGTAAGTTATAAACCAAACAGCTCAATGACATCTATTCCTGGAATGTAGTCAGTAGCTTGACAACCTATCTAGCTCCTAAATGATTCATACCAGTCACCTGCTGGCTACCTGAGGGAAATGCTATCCATCTGACACAGCATCACCTACAAGGAAATCCATGTGCAAATATATTCTAAGGATATAATACAAGTAACCAGGCTACTATTAAAAGTAAAGATTAGGAATCTGTAGTATTCCAATTGTCAGTTGTGCTTTGTTCTTTTTAGTAAAATTGATTTGCTTTTCATTTACTTTTTATATTTGTTTATATGTTGTAGCTAGTTATCTAACTTAAACGTCATCCAGATTTGCATAAAAAATGTTATCAGAGGTGAGTAGAGGCACACCTTAGAAGTGGTTCTTTTTATGTGAATTAAGATGTATATTTAGATAAACAAATTGTTCTTTGCTTCTTGACCTGTGTGACATCTTAAACAGTTCTTGTTTATGTCTAAAACTTAAAATTATGTTTTGAAATGATTGAATCGACTCTGCAGGGTGAGCTGACATAAGAGTGATTGATTTGGAATTGGAAAATTTGTCAATGACATTTTATATGATCACAGACTAGGATATTTCTGATGTCACAGAAGATAATCCATTAGCCTTCTTATACTGCTTACCCATGGATGGGTCCTGGGTACAACAGGTTCAGGACGGAAACCCAGACATCGACACTCCAGCTCCTCCTGAGGGATGTCAAGACATCTCTAGGCCAGAGAGGATATATAATATCTCTAGCAAGTTATGGGTCTGGTCTGGGGGCTTCTTCTAGTGGGGTGTGGCTGGAAAGTGTCCCGAGGGAGGCATACTAATCATGTGCCTGAACTACCTCAATTGACCTTTCAATACAGAGGAGTGGTCTATAATCTGAATTTGCCTCAGTGGGATAAGATCTGCCCCTATCTCTAAGGATAAACATTGCCACCCTAACAAAGAAGCACATTTCAGTCGCTTGTTTCCACCATTTCAATCTTTTTGTCATGATCTATGTACTGTCATGACTATAGATGAAGGTTGAAACATAGATGGCCCAGAAAATTGAGAGCTTTGGCTTTTGACTCAACTTATACTTCACCATGACAGGCCAAAGCAACGCTCTTAATACTGAAAACAAGGCCACAATCAATTGATCCACCACCACTCTAGCCTACCATTACTTGTGAACAAGACTCCCTGATACCTGAACACCCCCATCTAAGGCAGAGGCTCATTCCTGGCTAGAGGGAGCATTTCACCTTTCTCCAGTTGAGAACCACAGTCTTGGACTTGAAAGAACAGACTAATCACTGCGGCTTCACACTCAGTTGCAAACTGCTCCTGTGGACATTGAAGGTCATTGCCTTAAGGTGCCAAAAGAAGCACATCTTCTGCAAAAAGCAGAGATGTGACACTGAAGTTCCCAAACCTGGCACCCTCCTCTGCATGATTGTGTCTTGAGATCCTGTCCATAAACCCCTTTAACAGGATCAGAGGCAAGCAACAGTCCTGATGGAGTCCAACCGAGAAGGATAACTCTATGAAAACTCATCAATAATACCAGCTTTAATGGGAATGCATTATTTCAGTAATAAATTTGGATAGGTGGAGCAATTAAAGAAGAAGAGAGGTTGCTAAAAATTAGTAAACAAATAAAACTTCTTAACACAGTATCTATACAGATTGGAAGCTAAACATTTAAAATTATCCATATGAATAAGTTAACAGCTTAAATGTAGATACAAAGTAAAACTATGGTGGCTATGCAGTGTGAAAACATATATAGAGAAAAAAAGTATTGATAAAATGAAAATACGGAAAATAGTTACATTAATATTTTTACTGTTTCATTCCGGACATGTTAAGGCCACATTTGCAAACACCAAAGCACATTCTATGTGGACAACTCCTCTGCCTTAATAAATCTGTGGCTGATTGATTGACAAGGAAAACGACATGGTAGAAGGTGCAGATTGTTATTAGGGGTGTTAGGGTATATGCTCATAGGGGGATGAGGGAAGGAGGCCAGCTAAACTGTCCAGGGAAAGTTTTGGTTATACAAAACAGATTTACTAAGTGAGGTACAAAACATTTTCATGTCGCCTCAAATGGGATCCCCCTCCCTAATACGTTATTCTGATGCTGTGGTTATGCAATCAGCAGGTGCTCTAGACTGTTAAGGTTTGTCTATGCATTTATTTGAGATTTTAATATTAACAAGTTGGTGCACCAAGTTATATGTAATCCATATATATAAATTTTAAACATGCACATTCATGCTCAATCACAGGCAAAAACTCACCTTCAGTAGGTGATGTTTTCAATCTTGTGCACAGTCCTTCTACTCCTCCATAGTCCTCTTGGAGCTTGGCCACCGCCTCCGTGCTACGCAGCTCCATCAACGAGCGCAGCTCCATGAGCGAGCAGCCAAAGCCTGCTGCATGGTTGCCCTCATTTCTTTGGTTCTTGGCATAAAAATCGCTATTGGACATATCCCCCATGATGTCAGCTAATCAAGTCAGTTATGTTAGTGTTTGTTATTGCTTAAAGAACAAAAATAATTGCTTAACAGAGCCTAGGCTCATTGAAAAAAAGGATCCAAAATTGCAGGCAAAAGCAGGCAACACTGACCCAAAAAAAGGGAGAAAAATACCTCTTGTGGCTTTAAGAAGGCAGTTAAAAAGAGCAAAAAATGTTGAAAACATCCAAAGGATAAATGGATGAGCAGCCTTCGTTTCAGGAGAGATGGATTTCAACAGACCGAAAACCATCCATTAGAAGAAACGGAAAAGGAGAGAGAAATGAAGCAGGGGGAGAAGATGGGGTGAAAAATCACAAGTGGGGAGCATCCAGGTAAGCACTGGACAGCCCCAGTGGTTAGGTCCTGAGAAGGGCGATAATGGTACTTTTAAGTCCTGTAGGTCTCAGGCTCACCACGGCTGCAGTCCAGACCCACTCCATGTGTGGCTTCCCATTGCTGCTATTCCGCTCGTGCGTCCGTTGCCTCTCTGCCTCTACATGGTGGTCTTCCCCATTACTGCTACAGGAAAAGAAAACGAGAGAGGGAGAAAAAAAATCAATAGATGAATTTGGAGAAGTGAAGGAAGAGCAGGGAGAAACACGGAGAGCACAGGAATGAGCGCTGCGTTCTCAGGGCAGGGGTGAATGCAGCAGTAGATGGTGCACAGCTGAAGGACAGACTCTCCTGGCTGCTGCAGTAACTGTGCCTCTGCTGTCTCTATCTACTGCTGCTGGTGCTACTGGTGCTGCTAACCTCATTCTGAATACACGCACTGACAGAGAGCGAGCGAGGACATAAAAGAAAAAGAGGGATGAGGCTGGTTCTTTCTGGTGCAGAGGAGAGGAGTTGTGCACGAGTGGGAGGCTGGGACTGCTCTTACGACAGAGCAGAGAAGCAGAACGTAACACTGCGCTGTCACAGGGAGGATGGGCTGAGCTATAAACCCAGCACTGCTATCTCACCAGTAAGTAAGCTGCTGCTGCAGTCTACACTAAATGACCTCTTCTGTGTAGTCATTCTATCTCAGTGACACATTCTCCTTTATTTGATGTCTTGTCCTCTGCATTAAGTATTTTACTTCAGCTGTCATGCTTTTGTTTCTTACATTTATACTTTTATCAAAAATGAAAAAGTAACAACATTCTACTGAACAAAGATAATTTGAAGTCTGCCATCTGTTTACATCAACAATACATTTTTTCATGCTTGAGTTTTTATAGAAAATGTAAACTTCCTAAAATTAAGACAGCCAGTAATTACCAGTAAAAGATTTTTTTATGAAGGGGTTAAGCTGATATTCTAGTAAGCATTTTTAGTAGTAGAACAAGCAAACATCTAACTCTAAGTTCATAATATAAAAAAGTGCCCACATGCTGTGATGTACCTCACTAATATGTTAATTGCTTATTTTTTAACAGCAAAAACTATTTCACCAAAACACTTGCAGATTTGAACAAAAGAAAAAGGACGGCTTTTTGATTTCTCATTTGTTGTCCCACATTCCAACCTTTATCATACCAGACACATAATATAATACAGTGTAATAAAATGTTCCGTAAGTGTGAGAGAGAGTGTGAATGGTTGTCTGTCTCAGTCGTCCTGGAATGGACTAGCAACCTATTCGGGGTGTACTCTGCCTGTAACACAGTGAAGGCTGGCGACAAGACACCAGCTTCCTGCAATCTGAAAACAAGTAAAAATTGATGGATGGATGTACAGATGGCACTAAAATGCAAATGATTTACATATGTGCAATCACTTTTAATCAGTGACATCAGTGACTCATCCTGTGGCCACACTAATCAAGTCTCCACTTGATAGTTCAGAGGTTCATTATTAATACCATCCAAAGTAAACCTTTGCCTCACAGTTGCCCTTTATCACAACCCACCCACACAGAGGGGAACCTGGAATCAAAGCACCCAGTTTTGTATTTGGCTGAATCCTGCAGAGTCTGCAGTGTCTTTCCATCATATGTAAATAGTTCTTTTGTGAGGCTCTCTAATAACCACTATGCTGCCATGCCACCAAACATTTGGCATATTTCAATAAGAAATCAGACTAAATCGTAAAGTAGGCTAAACTGATGCTGAGGAAATAAAACATTGCTCAATATTATAGACTGTGGTGTCATTACATCCATATCAGACATGTCTGCTGATAACACTAAAAGCTAGGTGAGAAATATGCATGGCTTTCTGATTTTAGAGAAGTTGCATTAATAAATGTATTTAATAACAAAAAACAAATATTTCACTTGAACAATATGTAGAAGGAATAACCACTAAAAACTGAAGGTGACTTTATTTTTACTGTGATTGTATAATGTTTCTAGGGTAATATGTCTGTTGTAGTGTTGTCATCACAAAACTACAGCTATTCGTGGCAATTTTGTCATAAACCATTTATATTACTAAGGTTGCTGAATATTTATAGCTAGGTGTAACTAATACATTTGGCAGAGTCTAAACATGGGAACAGCAACTCCACTGTTGGGTATGTTCACCTCATGAATCATCACCCCTTTAAAATGTAGGACAGTTAAGTGAAAAACCAGCCTAGTTTCGGGCTTTTCACATCTGACTCTGCTCCAAGTTTGTAAAACCACTGTTTTCCTATGGTATTTTATTGCACTCTACAACATGAGAAAAATAAATAGGCCTGATAACTTCTTTAAAAACCTATGACATATCTAATTTAAAGTACTTTTGAGTATCTTGATTAGATAGAAAGGCGCTATATAAGTACAGTCCATTTATATCTGGCAATTTGTTAAGTAGCAATAAAAGCAAGTAGTGGTCACAAGCAAATCAAGTAAAAAAAAAACTTAACTTTGGCCAGAAAAATTAAATCATCAAGGTTTCCAGGTGGTGTTATCAAGCATGATGACACGGATGGGACTAGTATAAGACATGAGTGCATATTTGAAAATAGTGGGGCATGACAAGATGCTGAGAGAATCTCAAAACAATTGAATATCTACAGGACAAAGCAATTTGCAGGTTTACAAGATGCTTTTCTGTCTGTTAATGAGCTTCAGTCCATTCAGTAGTTAAAAAGCTCAGCAGCTTTGACAATAATATACAACCCAACAATACTGCAAAAATTTTGTACAAAAGATGAAATTAGTTACTCAGAGTCCTAAATAAAGTCACTGTTTTTTGCCTTTGATTGTCATTCAATAGACTCATAATTAAAAGGATGTGTTCATGTTTGGTGTGTGTGGTGTGTTCATGTTTGGGATCATTTCCTAAATAATAAATGTCAGCAGAAAGCAGGACTGTCCAAGCCTCTATTATTTTATTATTATTATTTTTATTTATGATGCTGTTTCTTTCCTTTGCCTGATAGTACTCTATGCATGCAGCAAACATCTCTGTGTGTGTGTGTGCGTGCGTGCGTGTGTGTGTGTGAGAGAGAGAGAGAGAGAGAGAGAGAGAGAGAGAGAGAGAGAGAGAGGAAGAAAGAGGAGAGCAAGAGGGAGAGCAAGAGGGAGAGCGAGAGAGACAGACTACTGCTCACCTTTTTTCTTACAGCTGTGAGAAATAAAAACCAAACAAGGTTCTGTTTCTTTAGAAGCATTATCTGTCCAAACAGTTCATATTTTAACTACCAGAGCTGGAACGGCACACACGCACAGATTGTTTTGGGCACTGACAGAATACCTGAAAACAGATAATGCTAATGAAGAAAACTAAAATAAATAAGAAAATACATGCCAAAATGCCTTAAAGTTAATTTAATTAATTGATTAAATTAAGTTTGTTTTTAAGATAAAAAACTGGAACATCTTAATTCAGTTTTAGTGGCACAGCTTCAGAGACATTAAGGCATTTATAACTCAATACTTTTTCCCCTCCCTCTCCTCCCTGCATCTTTCTCTCTATCTCCCTCTCCTCCCTTCATCTTTCTCTCTCCCTCTCCTCCCTGCATCTCTCTCTCTCTCTCTCTCTCCCTCTCCTCCCTGCATCTTTCTCTCTCTCTCTCCCTCTCCTCCGTGCATCTCTCTCTCTCTCTCTCCCTCTCCTCCCTGCATCTTTCTCTCTCCCTCTCCTCCGTGCATCTCTCTCTCTCTCTCGCTCGTACTCAACCAGCAGACTTAAGAGGTTGAAAAAAACAACACCAGAGGGAAGGAAATCAGTCTAGCTGTCACTGAGACAAGGTTGAAACAAAACTAAGTTTTTGTTCAGATTGGTCTAACTCTGATGTGTTCATTCTTCCTGTAGAAAACTTAAAACCATTTTGTCTTATACAGTATGTTCAGTACGATGGAGCTTTAGGGCCACACTAAAAAAAATAATAAATTGCATTGCCACGCTAAGAAAAAAAATAAACGCCATAAAATTGTGAAAATAAAGTCATAGAATTATGAGAATAAAGTCGAATAAAGTCTTAATATTACGAGAATAAAGTCGTACGAGACTTTTTTCTTTTTACAGCTGTTGTTAATATTTTTTTCCACGAGTTGGATCCATGACGCGAACTGTCAATCAATCCAGTAGGTGTGTCAGCAAATGACCAATTCAAAACTAAATGAGTCATAACATTATCCAAACTCCGACACAATAAAGCAGGGTTTAGCGCATTTTAACTGTGGTAAAATTAAGAATGTTTGTTAAACTTTATTGTTATTGACGCTCTTACTCAAAACATGTTCCAATACTTCCACCTACTGTTGTGTTTTTGTATGCTGCTTCTGGGATGCATATACATGACGTTATTACGTCATGATTTGGGGTTTTGTTTCCATTTCAAAACGGTGCTCATTGAGAGAAACTGTGTAATCTATTAGTGCATCAGCATCAGATTATTATCAATATCAGGACTTTGAACCTGCTTACCGTAAAGTGGTACGTTCCAGCTCTCTGCAGGTAAGGAGCATTTGGCTTCTGATTGGTCATTTGATGACACGCCTACTGGACTGACTGACAGGTCGTGTCATGGATCCGGCTCGTGGAAGAAAAAAAATAACGACAGCTATAAAATAAAAGTCTCGTACGACTTTATTCTCATAATTCTACAACTTTATTCTTGTAATTTTATGGCTTTTAATTGTTGTTTTTTTCTTAGCAATGTCCATCCATCCATCCATTATCTTTACCCGCTTATTCCATTTTGGGTCACGGGGGTCGCTGGTGCCCATGTCCAGCAATCACTGTGCGAGGGGCGGGGTACACCCTGGACAGGTCGCAAGTCCATCACAGGGCCACATAGAGACAAACGAGACAAACAACCATTCACTCTCCCACTCACACCTAGGGACAATTTAGAGTTACCAATCAGCCAAACATGCATGTTTTTGGTCTGTGGGAGGAAACCGGAGTACCCGGAGAAAACCCACGCATGCACGGAGAGAACATGCAAACTCCACCCAGAAGGCCCCTGGACCGGGGTTTGAACCAAGGACCTGCTCGCTGAGAGGCAGCAGCTCTACCAGTTGCGCCACCGTGCT